TGTCAGCTATTCAAAACATTAGCTAAATCCGGGACTTTTCCTCATCCGTAGCCGCTATATCAAAAAAACCGCAAAAAAAGGCCTTTTTAGGCCATTTTTTCAAAATAGCGGAAAATGCTCACCAGATACGCGTGCGGAAACTTCAGATTCGGATTCAGCGACCCAAAAAACATAAAGTAGGCCAAAAAAATCGCTGTGTACCCAAAATTCCAGGTAGACTTACCAGGCGCCTGGACTAGCAGTAATCATGTGTTTTTACATTAGCCTTCATGCGAGCTCAAGGCTTTATGGAACTCATTTTTTTTTATGTATATGGTAATACATATGATAGAGTGCATGAGCATTAATGATTTTTTATACTTTTGAATTAATAAATTAGAAAAATAAAATCAGGATTTGTGGAAGCAATAAGTATTACATTCAACACACCATCTTATTTCCGGATCAAATCCATACACAAGGGAGAGTCACAGTATCGTAATACTTACATAGTTAAAGTAAATGCTTTTATATTTGCGTAATTGTATCAGTTTATCAGATTTTTTTCTATATGGAATGTTCAAATTATACTGTTGTTACCCACTTCAGTCTGCCCTTCTTTTTCAGAATCTGATCATGAGAAGGAAAGCGGGTGTTGGAGCAATTCAAAAACAGAAACTTCAGCAAGAAAAGTATCAGGCGAAAACCTCAACTTTGCAAGAGAACCAAATTGAGCAGCTTTCGAAGCAGTTAGAAGTTTTTCGTACCAATTTAGAAGAATTTGCATCAAAACATAAGGCTGAGATAAAGAAGAATTCCGAATTTCGGAAACAGTTTCAAGCAATGTGTGCTTCCATTGGTGTTGATCCTCTTGCCTCCAAAAAGGGATTTTGGTCCGTTCTTGGTATTGGAGATTTTTACTATGAACTTAGTGTCCAAATCATTGAGGTCTGCCTAGCAACAAATCACAAGAATGGAGGTAAGTGAGTCAATATTCTAAAAACTTATTTCTAGAACTGTAGGTAATCCATCCAAGAGTTCATTTGTGTTCAAGCTAACATCTGATATATTTTAGATGCCGGTAAAAATCTGGGCAAACATTAAGTTCTACATAAAGGAGAACATCATTTTGTACTAGTCTACAGAATTTTTACAACATAACTAAATTGCGAAACTCCAAAAATTGAAAACAGGATTTATTCATAAGAAAAATACTGCATTACTGCATTTTACAATTAGACAAATCCTATTTTTATCCCTAATAATGATTTATGAAATTAGTTTGTAAGGCCCGTTCCGTCTTTAAACTCAAATTTTTCTAGATTTGACCTATTACGATGATGAATCGATTATATGAGGTTCAAACCCAAAAAGATTCTCAGACGAATCACCTTGATAGGTCTTGCATTTACAATGCCATTTGAATTTTTAGACTTAGAAAATGACCAAAAAAACAAAAAAATCCTAATTGGATGTCTTCGTTAAATGGTGAAAAGGTGTGATTTTCATTCCACAAGTAGAAGATCGTCTTATTTCAAAATTTGTGTCAATTATTATGGATGTTGAGGTATAAACATATGCATAACTGATGTAAATACGAATTTTGAGGAATCCCCCCAGATCGTCACACATCATATCGAGTAATTTTGATGTTCATATTCAAAAATAGCTGAACATTGAAGTGCTTTGACACATAGACTTTAGAATGTAATGGTTGCATGTCTAAATTGAGCAAAATCGGAGCCGAATGGTAATTAGCGTTTACCTATGTAAAAGCGTATATTCTTGATGTGGATATGGTCTGGTTGCTTTAAGTAACAATTAAGAAGCCCAGATAAAAGTACGGAGGTGCCTAAAGAAATAACTTCGTATTTTGTTGTTGTGTTTTATGAGTGGTCTAAGATAGAGGTCTGGTTCCAGTCGAAAAAATACACAAATTATTCCAATGTCTGTCACTTTTTCCTCTGTAATCTTTTCAGTTGTATAATTATTCATCAGAAATTCATCAATATTCTGTGCAGAATTTTTACCTGATATTTCTAACTCATGAATCTTGATGTTACAGGTCTTATCAGCCTGGATGAATTACGAAACCGACTGATAAAAGCTCGTGGTCAAAGCAAACATCATCAAGAAATCAGCAAAGATGACTTGATCTGTGCCGCTCAGAAGCTCAAGGTCCTTGGTAATGGCTTCACGGTGATTCCTATTGGCAGAGGGGACTACATGGTTCAGTCAGTGCCCGGAGAACTGAGCATGGAACAAACGGCAGTGCTGACACTCTTGAGTAAGTTAGGTGGTGCTTCCATCAGTGAGTCTCAGGTAGTGGATAATTTGAAGTGGGAGAAGGCGCGTGCCACCAAAGCGCTCAAGAACATGGTTCAAGACGGACTTGCATGGACGGATACACAAAGCGATGAGCCAACGTATTGGTTACCCAGTTTATTTTTCGAATGTGTGAGTGATGGTGTCTCCTCAGCTGGGTCTTAATAAGTCATAAAGTAGTTTTTTAACACCTACTATCACAGTTATCCATTACTAAAACCTTTCGTTTCGTGAAGGTGCTGACTGTTGTATTTTTGCAATCATTTAAATGATGTTGAGAAAAAGGAAAAGAGAAACTGTTATTTTTGGACCTAGTTAAGTGTGGATAGGAAAGCTGCAACTATTTTATTTCTTTTCCATACCCTCTCATTCTTCTTCATTACCTCTTTGATCCCAATATAAGGTCCCAAAAATTGAATATGACCGAGAATATCATCCAGGATTATTTTGCGCATATTAAGTCGTAGAGCTCCATTAGTAAAGTTGGTTCTCTTTTGTCACAAAGTGAATGAGAAGAAAATATATTCAATGGTAATTCAAAATCTTTGTTGGTCACTTTGCTAAGGATCAGTGGAATGTCAACTTTGAACAGTAAAAAAGGAAAATCCAGGAAAGCCCAGGGTCTTATCTGGATCGAATTTAACAGGCAGGAATCTGTGCCATTAGTGATGTAAAAATCGTGCATCTTCATCTTTTTCCAAACAAATATCCCTGCGAATAGCAGATTGTTTTTATTTTTTCACCAAAAAATTGTTAATTTTGAAGGATTACGATTGTGTGAATTCTATTACTGTTCTTATATTTAGTATTTTTTAAAGCTAAGAAAAAGTTGCAAGATTTTGAAAACACTGACATTGCGTCACTTTCTTGCTGCTATATGCTATCCAATTTATGATGAAAGGTGAAACTGATCCATATTTTTCTTGGCAAGCCTCAAATGACAGTAATCCTCTACTTCAGGCTCTTCTGTTTGAAATAGCACTATTGTTACTTTCTGAAGTCGATGTGACTTCACAATACAAGTACGAACATTATTTCTACGCCACTCTGTATTCATGCTTTTATTCATTCTGTTTTTTTTTCTGTGAAGATATTTTTACTATTAAAGAAAACTACTTACGATGTACTGAACTGTTATGCGCTAAGATCTTTCCACTTGCTGTACTATTCTAACCAGAAAAGGTTGCAACTGCCTTTTAGAAAAAAAGTAAAGAATTCTTGCCATCAAGCAGAACCTCTGATGATTTTGTACTGTGATTTCTACAACCCATCACCTTGGTTTCAAATATGACATCTGGCCAGATTTTTCATTGCTGATAAAAAAATTGATTTGTGGAGCTGCTCTGCAAAAATGAGATACAACATGCTTTCGAGTAGGTCTGTTAAGGCGAGAATCAATCTAGCTCTTCAAAATATCCATGAATTACTACTTAAGAAAATTGATAATGTAAATAAATGTCGGGGCCTGAATTTCGTTGGCTTCAGTCAACTGCAAGTTTGGGAACCTGCATCTACAATTCTACATTCTACTATCAGTCAGGAAAATTATATTCGAAACACAAGCTGTATTCAAGTTGTGCTTATTTTTAGCAGGCTCAAGCCATCAGCAGCTCTTTAATCGTGCAAACTATTTATCAGCGAATGAATGACAAAGGCAAAATTCTTGTCTCAACTTGCGGTCATCTGCAAACCTGCCAACAAAATTTGGGTCCTGCATACTAAATGCAACAAGGTTAAGTTTAGAAAATAAAAATTCAAGTTGCAAAGATGAAGCAAAAATTGTTAAGAACTTTCAGGAAATTTTTAAAAAAGGGACTGTATTTATGCATTCTCTGCAACAACAAGATCTACAAGTTAGAATAAATTATACAGTTATCATACATTGATTAAATTGCAAAAATTCTGAACACGTAAACAAAAATTTGGTGGATTCCTAATTTTGATTATATCTGTTAAAATCGTACAACTAAAAAACTGAAAAATGTGGTTTACTCACTGGACTCCCGCTCACAAGTCGAGTGTCCAGTTTTAAAATTGCAACTAACCTATTGAAAGTTTTAAAAAAAAGAGTCAAAAAAGGGAAATGATAATTACAGGTATAACTTTGCTCAAGAGGATAAGTATGTCGTTTCCCCGTTTCCCCGACAAAGGAACGTATCTTCATTTCAAGATTGAAACGTCTTAAGCTGTAAGTCTTTTCCTTACTCCAAAATGACGGATCGATGGTTGCCCAAGTTTCGCAGATTTTTCACAATAATACATGGAAAAAACTGTGAAATTCTTAAGGTCAAAATACAAATTCTGAGCTGGACTTTAGCAATGGTCTAATGGAGTTACGTTCTTTTGTTGGGGTAACAACGAATTGGTAGATTGATTACAGGGGCTCAAAAAGTCTTAAAAGAAAAAGTATGAAAAATAAGCTTTCACTTTCCGTAACCGTTAGCATTAAAAATTGTCATCCGTCTGCAAGTGGTTAAGTGAGAACAACTTTCATTCCCAACCAATAACTCGATCATGACGCCAAGAGTAATTTACATTCTAGTAGACATTATCATCGACAGTTAAAGAAGAAACTTTGAGCTCAAAAACTAGCGTTTTGAGTGCTCATGGATTGAGGTAGAAACAATGATATAAAAACTATGGATCGATGGTTTTTATATCGTTGGAAAGAAACGTCACTTTACATTATAAATCCTGTTACAAATTTTATTATTCGAAAAAATGACTAACAAGGGTTCCATTCCCCTTCCACATCCATTGCGCTATAATGACAAAATTTACAGAAATATTAATGATCAAGAGCATGCAGTGGCAGAAGAAATTGAAATTTTCGCAATTTTTTTTCTTTCATCACTTTTTAAAATTAGAGTTAATGCCAAAGTTGATGCTTAAAACTCCATAATACAGACACTGAACTGAAGCATCAAAATTGAGTAGAAGAAACTCTTACAGGGAACAAAATTTTCGCAATAAACTGAAAACGAGGGACTTAATGGAAAATATTATTTTCTCATCAGCAAATGCAAATTCGTCATCATACTTTTTGATCATACGTCTCTAAATCCCAGGCTTATTTTATCTAAAATAGAGATGGTTGATATCACAAAATGCACCACTATTCAACAGCTGATAGTTCCTAATCGCTCGCAAATGTGATCCTCATCCCAGCCAAATCTTAAGCAGAATTTTAGGGTGAGTGATGGTCTTTTGCAGATGGAAGATGTATAATTTCTCGCTCTCGAAAAACTGCTGAAAAGTCAAATGCTCTTCTTTTGGAGCCGGATACTGTGATTGGTGACCTCATCAGAATGTGCCTCTAAAATATCATTGACGAGGTTGACCTTAAACCATTGTTCATTCCGAATAAACAAAATACTATGATTTCAGTTTGGTGGAAATTAACAATAAACCTTTGTAATTTGTCGGACATTTACACAGTCAAGGCTGCATCAAGAGCAGAGCATGAAAATTGGAAAGGTCAGCACAATATGGCAATAAAATCACAGCGACATTTGTGTGTTTTTCATAGAATTGCGGCGAAATTAATATGTTCTTTGCACAGTCGCAGAAATTTGAAAATGACGGACAAAAAAAGTGCAGATAACTTGGAAAATTTTGAAAAAATAGGGGGTAAGTCAGTTCGAAAAATGGGAAGGTTGAGACTCCCTGGAATGCATAAGGGAAATTCACCACTTGGAATGAATGACAGCTAGAGAAAATAACTTTTTCCCACCCACTAGAAAACACGAGAGATGCCTCGCAAAAGCATGTCATAATGTGGAATAATACACTCGTTCAATTCACGCACTAAAAAAAAACCAGGAAAACTTTCTCCACACAAAAAACTACGGAATAAACTAAAACGAGAACAGTTTCAAGGATCTGCAGTTAAATGCAATCATTAATTGACCAAGAAGTTCTGAGTAAGACTGTGCCTCCTTCTGCTCAAAAAAGAAGTTGATAGGTGATTTGTCTCCAGTTTTTGGCATGGTCAAACTGGTGTGCGATATGTCGTATCAATTAAGTCAAAAGTCTTTACAGATTTTGACTTTTTAGCCAAAAAAAGGACTAATGGCCCTGCGCATGAGCCTAAAGAATCATTTTCGAGCAAAAAATTTGCAAAACTTTAAAAGAAATGAAGGCAGGATTCTTCTTGGAAAAAATCTTGTAATGAATACACAGGTCGATCACTATCAAATGCATCATTTTTTTCTGAGAAAAAACCTGTTTTCATTTCTCGGAATTTTGCAAAATTTTTGGTCATGAATAATTCTTTCGGCTAGGGGGCCATGATCTTACTTTATTTTTATTTTTTTTTCATTTGAAACATGATTTATTCATTGAATGCCTCTACTACCTATTTTACAAGAATGGTATCTATCGGCTATGTTTCAGAAGTATTCAAGTGTTAATAGTGGCTAACATATGAAAGGGTAATTCTATCATTATATTATTTCTATGGTACATAGAATAATATTTTTTGAATAATGAAGATATTACAAAGTAATGTCTAAAAATACAAATTAATAAGATAAAGTGGGCATAAGTATTTAGTACAGACCTAGTAAGGCTATTTTAACTTAAGAATTATATAGGGTTTGGGTGGTTCTATTCAATCTGGGGGTAACTGTGTTAGCTCAACTTTTATTTCCCTGACCGGCCGATTTGGCTACCCAAACCTGCGCCGAATCAATCCCCCCGGATGGTTCTATTATATTTATGACTATCTCCCTGACCGACCGATTTGGCTACCCAAACCTGCGTCAAATCAATCCCCCCGCATGATTCTATTATATTTCTGACTAATTATTGTAGGTTACGTTTATTTTTCGTTGGCTTGTGTTATTTCTTGAGACTGTAGTTGTGATTACAAGTTAATTACATGTTAGTTACATTGAATACTGGATTGAGGTGAATGAGGGTGCTGAGTAGAACATATTTACAGGTGATATTATTATCTTACTTGTGGCTAAAGATTCAAAATCTGCTGACATTTTAATGACATATATCGCATGCCAGAGCAACCATGTCAAATACTAGTGATGAATCCCTTTAAATTATAAAAACTGCGAGATAGCATCTCACTTGAGAATTTTTACCATTAAGTATTCACAGTAACCGCTAGAGTAGGCGATTTTAGAATTACGACATGCTCAGAAAATATAAGAAGGCTTGAGTTAAGCTTATAAAGAGGGGATAATGCTCTTTCTTCATAACAATGTCTTAAATAGCACGATTTTAACAGCCACACTCTAGAATTACTGCGAATTTATATCTAAAACCAAATCCAACTAGAATTTGCGCAGCTTATATTTGGTCAAACCTCTAGCATTTCAAACATTGTTTGAGATGCTACTTTGAATATAAGTAAACAGTCTTTTTAATGAATGAAAAACGCTATTCTGGAATGATGTTTGTCCAACCATGAGATGCGCAACCTCTGACTAGGGGTCAGAAGAATGTAGAGTGAAATAAAGAGAGAGAGGAGAATTGTATGGTTTGGAAAATTTAGACATCAATAATGAATTAAAATTGTTATCAACGAGCAGAGACGTTTCAGGAGGTAACTTTAACCTCAGAAAAATTAGTGAAGGCAATTATTAAGTCTCAAAATAAATATTAAAAGTTTAAATTCCTAGAGATTACATTTATAGATCAATTTACCTGCATTGTAGGCTACTTAAAACTACCGGTGGCTTTTTTCAAACAGCTGAGTCATAAAAAAAAAGAAAAAAGAAAAATAGGTTACATTTTTAAGCGAAGCATAGGGAAGAATCAGAGGCATTGAATGAAAAATACTAAAAAATTCCACACGAAATATCACAGAAATCGTACTTTCAATGATTGTTTGATTGAATTTTCGAATGGAGGATCAAACAATGAAGAGAGATGTGATAAAATATTTTGACGTAAAATTCCAAAGAAGAATTTTTCATTCTAAGTTAGGTCTCTGAAAGGAGGATCCACCCGTTTTAAAAACTGACAAAACGCTGAAAATATACCGTCAAAGTCTCAGGCGCAACTTCATTTCCACAAATTAACTGGCCACCTAAAATCTTTTGAATGAAAAATGAAAAATGACAATGAGAAGCTTGTGGCCAAGCCTGAAATAAGAATAAAATGTGACCTAGTATTCAGATGGTGTTTTGAAAGCTGCGCCCTTGCAACTGTTGAAATCAATTAAATGGTCAAATTAAGTTTGTAGTTGAAGTTAAACTTTATTTTACTGAGTCTTGACAGGACATTCCTAATTTTGCCAGTCAGTTTTCAATACTGAGAACAATTAAATTAAAAATATTGAGAGATGACTGAATATACATACATAAAAACAAACTTCTTTAATTTAGCATTTGGTACTTATAAAGTCCCTTAAGATTTGGACTTGTAAAAATACGTACAGTTCCTCGATATCCTAAATTTCTCTTCCTCCTTGAAGTTTCAGTACTACCCTAGAGATGAATAAAAAGAGATGAACTTAAAAGAAAAATCTACATGTATACGTAGAATGTAGAATATAAAAGCATTCATAGATTTATTGTGATTTACTGTATTCAGTGCACCACTTATTGCTCTTCAAATGGTGCACTGGAGATAATAATGTAAAAAACGGAAGAGAAAAAAAGGTTAGGTACTTTTGTTGTGTAAAATGAAGATAAACACGATTCGAGTCCGCGGGGAGGGGGTAAGTTTGCGAACATGCAAAAGCAAGAAAAATAGATTAAAATAGTATCTACAAAAATAAAATAACAAAGAAGACAAGAATTCTGAAAAATTAGTTGGTAAAAATATTGAATAGCGATAAGATCAGAGAGTCGTAGAACTTAAGAAGTAGATATAAGTACACAAAATCAATGCAAAGATTGCGTCTGGATGATTTTGCTTTTGTTTAAAAAAAAATATATGAGATAATAACAGGTTGACCGCCATAATTATCATTAAATTTAGTGAGAAATGATAAGCGCCAAACATGGTTATGTTGACAAATTACAAAGAAGTTTTTTTTGTTTTGTTCCAAGAATCAGTACATTTAGAATTATTCACTGCTGTGCGCTGTGTATAACACCACCCAAACGTTGGGTTTATGTAATACATCCCTTTAAACAGCCTCATAACTAATCAATGAACTTATCTTGTTTGATCAGCATGCCCATGCTGACTATTATGGCAGTCAGCCTGTCATGACCGAAAGGCTGACGTCAAAAGTTAACATCCTATTTTTAGTCGAAAACCGTGCACTTGCATGTCAGCATTTTTTAAAGACGGTAATTCACATTAAAACGTCGCGCATATCGTTCATCAATAATCACAAAATTTTTATCGAAACAGATCATTCTGAAAAAGAGGAGGTAAAATTACAATTAAAGAAATAACAACAAGCTGAAACAAATATAACTAATCTATCATTCTAGTTTGTATCGAGCGGAAACAGTCTTGTCTTTCCATAAAAACATTGATTTGATGCACTCAATGAGTCGGAGATAATTCATCGGAATCTTTGATGATTAGGGCTTTGTGAGGAATCGAGGAAATATTGTGGAATCTGAAAAAAGATAAAAATAGAGGGTATGAAAAAATGAACACATAATACAATAAGAATGCTGTAACAGAACGTTACAATAGTGCTGAGGCCTCACTAATCAGGGTCGTAAAATTGTAGGAATTAGCATTGTTGTTACAAAAATGAACTCTAGTGAGTTTCAAGTGCAGGACTNGGGAGGGAGGGGGGGAGGAGGAGGAGAATGTTCAGTTTAGAAAAAAAATGCAGTTGAATACCAGGCTGGGGAAGATTTCTACCGGATTGGGTCTTTTTAAATCCTATCAGTAAATCACACACCGTCAGTGAGCCCAGTTTAGCATCCTTCAATATCTTAGACAGCATTTTAGAGTTTCTTGTGCTTTTTGTGGCCCTAATGCTGATTTTTGGCTTTGATTTTCTTACAAAACAGTGTGAACCTAGCACTATTCTGAGTCTTTAAGCATTGCCTGCCCTTGGATAAAATACGAATTTTCAGGGAAATCTGTGAATATTTTCCTCCAATTTTTCGAAGGATTTTGTTTGCAATAAGATCTAAATTATCTGAAAATTTCAAGAGGAAAGATTCGTAACTCTACTTAAAAATAAACATTTATTAGGAAATTTGGCAAATATTGAATGTTAGTATGGCTTTTTTCTGAGCAAGGCAGTATTCTACCATCCTGTAACTTAGTAGAATAATTAGTAATACGTATCTATTAATACAGTAAGACATTAATTTATCATATCGTGATTTAACTGATTCTGACCCAATCAAGCATCTTTTTTGCATCGAAATTTTTCTGATGCTGAATTTCTTGTCCTTCTGTGCATAGTCCTTTCTGCTCCTGTTTTATTTATCCCAAAAAGATATTAGGTATTGGACACTTTTATGAGAAATTCTTCATATGAAAATCTGGAACAAATTGTGTACCGACTGGATGGGAAAAAATTCTCGGGCTTTTCACAACAACAATTTGAATGCGTAGAACTGAAAATGAAACATTTTTGGCGTTAACCCATTGACTTATGATTTAATTTGACCCTGCCGGGCCAGGAATTACGATTTAATTTGGCGAAAATCAGCAACTTTGAACACTTCAAAATAATCCAGAAATTATTTCTCAAAGGGTGAAAATTGACAAAATAAGCATTCACAATACAACGTGTGAGAAAAATGGTGAAAACTTTGAACACAATGATTTTTTTATGTGGTTTACCCAAGTAGCATAGATTGCAATAAGTAGCAATTGCATAGTAAAAATGTTGCAATTCCACTGAGTGTTGTGTATGTTGCCTAGCTCCTATTTGAAGGGGCCCCGTTCATTGAAACTTACTGCAATAAAATTAAAATAAGTTGCAATATTTCATTGCATTGCATATCGCCTATCTTTCTGACATGCAGCTCATTTTCTTGATTGTTGAAATCGGCATAAGTCGGCCAAATGATGTAAAAATATGGCAATTTAATGGTAAAAAAATTCCAATTTTTTTGAAATCAAATTGCAATTAAATTTCAATATTTTCATTGCACTGTGCTACTTGGGTATAGCTGTCAAAATCGCAAAAATCGCAAAATCAGAAAATTTTGAGGTTATTTCATGTGCAAACGCACAGTAATATGAAAATATCGTAACAAAACAAGAAATTACCGTACACAATAAGTCATAGGGTGGCCACACTACTCATATAAACATTGATGAGAACGCAATCTACCGGAGAATTGCCAAAATAACGCAAACAATCAGCGGACGGCTCTGAGCTGTCATATCAGAGCTGGCCCAGCGCTGCAATGACGGCTGGGAGCCGTCATTTTAAGTCAATGGGTTAATGTCACTCCAAACTTTAGGAACATGTGAATCTTTTTTCTTCAGGTATTAGTCATTCCATCAACTAAAATTGCGATTCCTTTTCAGAGGTTATTCCTTTAATCACTATTCAGAGTGTAACTCATGGCACTGACAGGATTATTCAAACCAGAATGAGACTTGATTTGACTGAGTGGACAGCGCTGATGTCATTTCAGATTTCAAGATTTTTCAAACGCGCTGTCTTTTACTTAAAATTCTCTGACCTGATGAAATTCCCTGACAGTTCCCAGTTTTCCAGACCTGTGGATAGCACCAACTGCTAGCTTACAGTTCGATCGATTTTGGAACGATGTCGTTTATGATAAGACTGTTTGCTGCTGAAAGAATAATTTTCTACAGTTTTTCAGAAGACAATCTACCAAGAAACTGCATGAGCTCACACTGAATCATTGCCTTTTAGACCTGCCTTGATCAATTAAAGATAATTTTGAGTTTTTGAAGTTACAGCATTCATATGGACTCATTCTTTCAGTGGCGTGGCGCGCTTTGCAATATATCGATTGATCTGCCATTTAAACCTATGGAAAAGTATCGATAGACAGGGTGTTCGCAGCGAACATCTTAATAATCGATTATTTACCACAGCTTCAAATAGGGAAATATTGATAGATCGCAAAGCACGCCACGCCACTACATTCTTTATACTCGAGGAAGAGCAAGTATCAATTTCTGTATTATACTGAAAGTAGCAAGAGGGTGTCCTGAATAAATTTTCTATTAACTCTTGCTACCAGTTACAGAATGCGAAATAGGGTTGTTTCTGCATGATGAGATCTGATCATCAGATTGTGATAAATGTTCAGTGACAGTTTACAGCAACATATGTTGTAAACTCTATGAGGACTATTCTGTAATTGAGCGACTTCTAAAAAAAAAAAGTTGTGTTAATTAGATAGAGAAGGTACACTTACTTATCGGAACTATATTTTTCTCGGATAGCTTTGTGAGAAATGGTAAAAGCATTGCTATGCGTGGAGTTCAGGTGGCCGATACAATTTTTTAGATCATTTAATGTGTAGCCTGTGCACTGGATTAAAGCATCTGTCCAGATGATTGTGTAGTTTAGGCAATGTCTGGCCAACGCAATTGCTGAGCAGGCGATAACCGATGGAAGGAACTGAAGATAGGGATCCCCTTCCAGGAGACTCAATTCACTAATAAACTGGAAGAAAAATATAAAAAAATTGCACGTAAGTTGAGATGCTGATAAAGAGAAATTAATTTTTATCTTTACAGAACCAAGAGCCTTAATTCCCTTGCCCTACAAATTTTCGGAAACTGTGGCTTAAAATTAATGACAATAAACCGAGGGAAGATGTAAACTATGGTTGATTTTTATTTGTAGTTTTAAAAGTGTATGTTGTCGGGTAAGTGTCTTGCATGGCTTTTAATGCCCATCTAGATTTTTGGAGAGTATTATGTGTACGTTCTCAAATTTAAACTGTAGAACCCTTTTGAGATAAAAAAGGAGTTGGTCTCATTTCAGGCATCTTGGATTTTGTGAATGACTGATGACATAGGTAAGTTTTGTCATCGATTCTTTTGAAAATAGTGAAGTTTGCGGGAGAAATTCAATCATTATAAGTGTTCGAAAGTATACATAGGCTGTCTCAAAACAACTGAGAGTAAGTCTGTATTTCAGAAACAATAATAGATATTGAAACGCGGTTTGTTGGAGGTTGTAGCTCATATTATTAGCTATCCAACGAGCCCAAGATTAGCTCATTTGGTCAAAATTTCGCTGAGTTACAGCAATTTTCCGGAGGCGTGTAAAAAATAACCCTACAGGATTTTTGAGTATTTTTTTCCCTATCTGAACTGTTGTTCTGAGGGTCGTGCAGTTGATCGCAATTTTGCCGATCACGTTGGCACTGGTCTAGATGCAAGTTCTAACATGTTTGCATGTGCTTTCATTGCATATCAGAGTATTCTTCAACTTCCCAGCTCAGTAAAGCAAACATTGTCTAGCGTTCATGACACTTTCCTCCGCCGCAGAAGTTGACGGCTGGCCGCCATGCGGAATCAAAGCTGCCGACTCGCGACCCTCGGAAAAAGCTACATGCCACCGATAAATGGTGCTCTCCCCAAGTCGATTTTCTCCATCAGCAACTAACATCTCTTTTACGGTATCAGAGGCAGTTAAACCTCGGCGAACACAGTAACGGATGGCATAGCGTTGCTCTAGTTTCAGCTCCGCGGGCGAACTCATTGCACCAAACGAGAACACGTGTCATTAACGCTAGACAATGTTGGCTTCACTGAGCTGGAAAGTTGAGGAAAACTCTGATATGCAATGAAAGCACATGCAAACATGTTAGAACTTGCATCTAGACCAGTGCCAACGTGATCCGCAAAGTTGCGATCAACTGCGCGACTCTCGGAACAACAGTTCAGACAGGGAAAAAAATACTCAAAAATCCTGTAGGGTTATTTTTTACACGCCTCCGGAAAATTGCTGTAACTCAGCGAAATTTTGACCAAATGAGCTAATCTTGGGCTCGTTGGATAGCTAATAATATGAGCTACAACCTCCAACAAACCGCGTTTCAATATCTATTATTGTTTCTGAAATACAGACTTACTCTCAGTTGTTTTGGGACAGTCTATGTATTTTGTGTTGAACTGAGCAAAAAAACCGGAAGTTATGGTCTGTTTTTCATACTTTGAGTTTCACATTTTGCTAAAAAAATCTACTCCATATTGGGCCCACCTATATCACAGTGTAAACAAATCGTAAATTGCGGCCACCTTCTTTTTTCCTCTATAGTACAAACCTAAAGAATATAAAATGACTACCAGGGTGAGAACTTACCAAAGCTAAATGCATGACTCTTTCAGGCAGACTGCACATGACGGAGATATGACTTATGAATGAGAATGTAGTTGGCCCTGACATATCGAAGGTTAAAACTTTTACAATCAAATATTCCATTCTTAAAACTTGTTTCTTTGAGTATGTGTCATCTGTGATATATACAAATTCACCAACATCTGGAGGATAGACTTCTTCATATTTTCTGTACAAAACAAAACCACTGAAAGTTAGAATTGGACTTCAAGAGACAAAAATAATTGCGCATTTAGAAAATTTGTTAAGAGTGGATCTGTAATTTAAAAATTCGACACACAACGGACCTGTGGAAAAGCTACAAATTTAAGCATTCTGATCAGTGTTTCCTCTTCACTATTTTAGGTAGAACACAGTACACTTAATGCATACCACTAACACTAACTCCCAAGTTCTAACCAAAATTTTAACGTTTTTACTTAGCACTGGATACAAAAATTTAAATTTCCTGCTCACAAGAAAAACATGAGTATACATGAATCAAATCGAGCACTAAAACAGTTTCAGTATGCTACTTCATTGAGCAGGGTTCTTTCTCCATCCTGCGTTGTTCAAAGTGTTTCTGTGTTGTAAAAAACTTCTAAAAGTTAAGCCGAAGCGTCCAGATTGAGGCTATGATATTTTCATACCACAGAGACTGTTACGGTAAGGTTTGGTGTATGATTTAACTCAGGGAGAGTATAGTTTTTTTTAACCGGCAAGAAGTTCGAATTTATGTGTTGAGAAACATTAATATCTTGGTTAGAAGTTAATTTCAATAATTTTTGTTGCACAAATTGTGTTCTACATAAAATTTGATGAGGAAACATGCATAAGGTATAACTCTTTGAAGTTGTAGGACCGGAAATTTTTTTGCCTGAGATCTTCAATACATTAATTTTTTGTCTTGCATGAACAATACTGTGAACAAGTGCACAGTGCCCACAGAAACAACATACTTACTGCCAATGCATGAACTTCTTTGGGGGTTGAGCCAATATTTGCAATAATGATACTCTATGAAACAGGAAAATTTTAGAGAATAATCATACTTTTCTCAAATTTCAAAGAATTTATTTAAAAATGGAGGCGCGATAAAGAAGAAAGCATGAGGATTTTGACTTGCTCTATGCAATTCCATGGTAGACTGATGAGGTTTTTGTCATCTGGCGATGCAATAGTGCAATGAAGACATTTCACAGAATGGATCATTGATTATATTGCTAGGCATTGACCCGTTTTTGCCGGGGGGGAGGGGAGGGGTTGTTTTATTATGACCAGCTTGGCAGAGAACGTATTAAAGCTTCGTACAGTGATAATAGGGTTGCTAAAGAAATATTTTTCTTGTAAACTTTGTTGTTCCAAACGTCTAACTCACTCTAAAAAGCTAATAATGGTGACTTTATAATTTTCTCCTGACATTTCCAAGTTTTCCCAGATTTGTAAAAATTCCCTGATATTTCACTGTTTTTCCAGTGTTCCCTAACTGTGGGAACCCTCTGATAAAGAAACTGTTAAAGGTGTAAACCACTTACGCAGCGACAAACATGGCTGCAGTTCCAAGGAGCTGAAGTTTGCTCCTATCTACAGACATAATGCTGAGGAATCTGTCGATGAAGCTCACAGCCATATACAAGGTCTGGGTCTGTATCGAGTATTCTTCAGCTACTTCGACTAGCCAATCTATTAAGATCGTCCTCATACTGGCATTAATGCTGGGTTGTCTGCGCATGTAGTTGGGTTTCGGCCGATGTTTGAGCTGCAACCATGAAAAAAGGTTAAATAAAATTAAAAACCCTTTGCTTCAACAGTACCCTTTGTTTCTTTCAATTGAGAGTCGAAAGTCAGTTGGATATTGGTTCAAAATGCTACAAAACACAGCCAATAGGACTACATTAGGCAATGGAGATGTTGCATGTGTGAGGAATTTGCAATTTGACTATAGATTCTTACGTAAAAGTTGACAAGAAACACGATGGTGCCACTGATTTTCTCTGAAATCAACTCCCAAGCTCAAAAAAAGCTCTCCTGTTGAGGCCAAAATGGAGGGGATATCGCTTGCTATCCTGAGAGTCCACCTCTACATCAAGACAAATTCTCCATGCAAAGATAGGGAGCAAATACATTGACAGGGCTGCCACTTTATTTGGGGACTCTAAAACTGAAAACACAGCATCACTGATAATGTATTTGCTCCCTATCTTTGCGTGGTGAGTTTGTCTTGATGTAGAGGTGGACTCTCAGGATAGCATGAGATATCCTCGGCCATTTTGGTCTCAACTTGAGAGCTTTTTTTCAGCTTGGGAGTTGATTTCAGAGAAAACCAGTGGCACCATCAAGTTTCTTGCGAACTTTTACATGAGAATCAACAGTCAAATCGCAAATCCTCACACATGCAACATCTCCATTATGATATAGAATTTCTGCCTCACCCGTAAAAACACTAAGGCGGATAAGGAAACTAATGGCACATACGTTGTTTCTAAAATGAACTAGAAATTATAGTTTCCAACTGCAAAATGTGGTCCCACTAGAGGGCTCATTGCTGAAAAAAAGAAAAAAAGAAAAAAAAAAGAAGAAAAAAAAAAAAAAAAAAAACAGCANAAAAAAAAAAAAAAAAAAAAAAAAAAAAAAAAAAAAAAAAAAAAAATGCAGCAGCATTACCCTGCCTTTCTGCGAGCCACAATACGCTCATTCAGAATTTCAGATTTTGCAAATCTTTTAAGTATACAGCGATACAAATTTTACAACCATAATTTTTTTGAGGGATAAAGACTTGAGGGTAAGATTTGCTCGACCTGGAAGGACAACAGCACCGGCAGTTCTTGCTTGTTGTTTGTGCAGTAGTAAAAAACCATCTGGTACTAAAAAGTATCTCACATTTAAGGATCCAAAAAATTCATTAACAAGTTCAGAGGTTAATTTCTGAGGGGAGAAAAAGTTATTAAAAATCCGATAACTAAAAAGCTGACAGTCGAGTTGATGTAGCAAAGCGATGCCTGAAGCAGAGTTCAAGACAGAGTTCAGGGAACAATGTTTATTCTCATTGGCTACATCATCAGAGCCCGCTAAGAGTATCCTTTCAAACAGGCCCCATTTTCGGCATTTTCAAAACTGGGTTTTTTGCCAATTAGGGTTGAAAAATCTGAAAAAATTTCTGGAAGCTTTGTTCACTCCGAATGTTCCGCAAATGAAAAAAATGCGAGCCACTGACCCATTGGTCAATTCCAGGTGTCATAGAATGGCATTTTGATTGCCCAATCCTGAATAATAGCAGGAAATAATAAAATTTCTCCTGAGCGAAGTTAGTGCATCCGATTGTAACAGAGATAATAGTTTTAGAGCAGATTGATTGATGATGCCAATTTCAGTACATACCATAGTTTATTCCTGTTTTACAGTTACAATCTTGCTTGGTCTAAATCAGTCAAAAAAAATTAATTTGATGCCCTGATTGCTCCTAGTACTTCATAGTAGAAATAAAACAAAGCGAGCACCAATGGAGTGAGTCACTCTGTTGGTTTGTCATTCTGAACAACTGGTGGCAAAAAATTGTGTGCAACACAATCAACCATCAAGAAAAAAAATTAAGACATAAGCAACTCATCAGGTTTGAGCTTCCGCTAGTTTAATTTTCAAGCTTTGTGAAATTGATTTTCTCCTAAGGACCCAAAATCCTTTTTCTCCAATGCTGTTACATATATTGTACTGACTGGGGAAGCTGGCATCTGCAAAATTTAATGCAGCAAATATGGAATGGGATTAGATTCCCATTTTTAAATTCAACAACGTGATCACTATTTTTCCTGTCTGCAAAGATTTCGGCAAATATCAAACATTCTCTCCAACATTAAAATGCTAGCATAAGACTTAAAACACACCTCAAATTCCCTCATGTACGCGAAAATTTCTGAACTGTACAAGGATACGTCGTAAAGAACGTGATCTGACGGGCATGACTTCTTAACGATAGGAGTGAGAGCTTTCTCGATGGACATGGGTGTATCACAAATGAAACTGCCCTCAGACATCGGTTCCACTTCTGGCACATTTTTGCCGGGCGTCGAACATTTTGACTCGAATGAGACATCATGAATTGCATCCTCGTGGATTTCTGGGAGTTTTGAGTGAAAACTCGGTAGATTTCTGACCTGTTGGCAACAAAACACAGGAGAATCGTTAAAAAGTGCGAGTGATTTCCAACTTATGAGTTTTCAGAACTGAGGAGATTTTAAGAAATAGATTGGCACCCCAAAAACTCAAAGATAGAAAAGGACTGTCTTTCACTTGGGTGGAAACAAGATCCCTCTTAATCATTATGAGTAATTTGATCTTTCAAATGCAATTTAATCCTTTCTTTTGGTATGTATTTTTTTCGGACCCCCCCCCCCCTCCCCCCCCCCCCCTTCTAAGTATTACCTGCAATGATGACCCTCTCCCCAACACATATAAAAAAGACAGAATTACACTGAAATGCATTAAAAAAGGGTAACTTATATGGCTCATTAATAAAAGCACATAGCTGTATAGAGCAATCAAAATGACATGTTTTTTTTCTTTTTTTCGAAGGGGCAAAAGAATTTTGAGCTGCTCACAAAACCTTTGTTGAGCGCAAGGCCAGGGGCAAAATGGTGAGAAACAATTTTTTTAAACAAACTTTCTTGAAAATCGAAAATACCTACCTATTTGAAAACTATTCTTAGGATCTCCAAACTTTAAGGAATTTCAAAGTTGGTTGTAGGCCAACTTTGTTTTATTTTTTTTCAATTTCTCACAGCTGTCCTTTTTATTCAAAGGTTAAAACAAGAATAATGAACGTTGTGTAAACACTTGGGCAACAGCCTCAAGCAGATGGAAAAACTTTAAAATAATTTTTCCCTTTACTGGGGAGAATAATTGAAAATATTCCAGGTTTCTGGAAATTGAGCAAAATTCGTATTACCTGCATAAAGCCATGATTCGCACCAAAATTAGTGGGGCACCAATACCAATACTTATGATCGAAATTGATTGAACATTTTATCGCCGGAATGGACCGCTAGACAAGGTACGAATTTAAGCAATCTGATACATGTCTCTTAACCAGAATTTCACGTAGAACACGATTCACACTACGAAAATTACCGAAATCAACTTCTAACGAAGATATTAACGTTTTTATTTCGCACTGATTACGAGGAATTTGAACTGCCCGCTCACAAGAAACTCAAAGCTCTACGCGAGTCAAATCGCGCACTACAACGGTTTCAGCAAGCTTCTCAATCGAGCAATGTTCATTTTCCACCATGTGTTGTTCAAACTATTGGTAATTTGCTATAGCTGAGCCAAAGTGTCAAGATTGAAGATGAAGATTTTTACATCGCAGAGACTGTCATGATAAACATTTAGCGCGCGATGTGAATCACGTAGAGCATTGAGTTTTTATGAGCGGGTGGTTTGAATTCACGCATCACGAATCATTAAATATCTTCGTCAGGAGTTGATTTTGGTAATTTTCGCTGTGCAGATCGTGTTCTACGTGAAATTTTGGTTGAGAAACATGTATCAGAATGCTGAAATTCGTACCTTGTCTAGTGGTCCATTGAACCTGTAAATATGTGTCAATTAGGTGTAAAAATGACTCAATGGACCAATTACCTCATCACAAACTTCTTGTTCCTTTTGGATTGGCCTATCAAGTTTGACTGCCGGTTTGGAAGTGATGAACGATCGCTTTTGCGTATCATAGTTTTCTTTGGATTCTGGTTTTTTGTCGGCTGGCTCTTCCTTTTCCTGAGCCTTTGGAGGTTTCTGCAGTTGGACTTTGTTACCGACGATGTTGTCAGTGATTTCCTGAGAATGAAAGATTGAATTACTTCGAAGAATGGATGCATCACATTCATGCTACACGATTTTCGAAAAAAGTGAGTATAGTATAATCAGGACGCATGAAAATGTGATAGGAGGTATAATGTTTAAGAGCCAAAAAGCAAAAGTCAAAGGAGAAAAGGAGGGAACGTGTTCGAATTGATGGGAAATGTGGGAAGCCGACGAGAAAAACATGTAAAGTCCGCAGTGGGCTGATTATTAGAATTGATAGACAAAGCTTTAGACAAAGGGAACAAGGGAAATAGAGCGATCCTCGATTATCGATATCTCACCATTTTAAGCTATGGTAAAGAATCGATCACTACGGTGTTCGCTGCGAACACCCTGATACTTAATCGATCTTTTTTCATAGGATTGAGTGGCGTATCAATCGATATATCGCAAAGCACCCCATGCCACTGGATCCTTTTGATGGGAGCGGATGGTTGCGATGGAAAAAGTGGTTAAGTGATAGACTAACTGATGGAAACCGACAAGAGACCCTACAGTTAGTCCATCATTTTCACCCCTCGGCAATAAGAACCACCCGGTGCAACCAATGGCTTTATGCTCCCTTTGTCTTCTCTGTCTATAGCTTTGTCCATCAATTTGAATAATCAGCCTGAAGGCAGGGGCAAGGAAGTGTGGAAGCTCGAGAGCTCCTGCACTTGGGCTTCCGGTAAGAAGACAGCCAAAATGTGCCTCCATCCATAGACAATAAATCCGTCCTTCGCAAAAAGTTAAGACCTACGTAAAAAAAAATTACCTCAAGGCCTTGTCTCCACGGGATGTTTCATGGGATTTGTCCCAGGAAAAAATCTCACTTGCGAAGTTGGGAAAAAAATTGAGTTAGTCAACACTAATCACAGTGCCAACTAAGAATCCTTGTGAAGTCCCAGGAACGACTTCAAAAGAAGAAGAAGGCATTTGCCGGCCAGGTTGGTCTAGTGGTCAGCGCGTCTGACTCTAAGTCAATAGGTCCCGGGTTCGAATCCCGGTGGTGGCGTCTAATTTTCACGGAATTGACGAGTAGATCTGCTGAAACAGATTCTCCTCGGCCCTAATCCCTGAAAATTAGAAAAGCCTGGAGCATGGAGCCTGATGTCTACGGACACTAAAACATTGTCTAAAGTTGGCTGAAGGTGCTATAGACACGAAGCCATTAAAACCAGCAGAAAAAAAAAAAGAAAAAAAAGAAGGCATTTTGTTGTGTTCTTTGACGGGGAAAAAGCCCAGAAGTATCATTCCTGCGATTCGAACTTGGAAAAAATCCCGTGGAGACAGGGAGTAAGAGAGAACCTTAATGTTACGTCCGCTAAAAATTTACGGTTGATAAACGCATCTCGAAGTCAGTTCGGCCCGAAAGTTATAGGTTCATTCCGTTCGCAGATCAATGCGCGCTCTCCTTCTCCGTCTTTGCTGCGGACAAAAACAGCGGATAAAACGTCGTTTTTTTCACGTGAGGACAAATCTACAATTCCACGTGAGCCCCGAGTTCGATGGACCTACATGGACATAGGGGCTCATCTCAACCAGTAGTTACGCTCTTACATCACAAGAGCGACGAAAACAGCTGCGGTTGGCATCAAAACATCGCACCTTATCATAGGTGGCATCTTTATCGGGTTCGACCGTTTTTAAACCTCCGCATTCCACTGTGCTCAGGAGGAGCGTTGTATGAACACGTCGCAAGATTTCTTTGGATGAAATACGAATTTTCGGAGGTGCCTACTTGACGAATGTCTTTCATCCGATCTTCCACACAATCATTTTCACGATTCACTTGCGCGTGGGTATCTGGAACTTTCAGGGAAAAACCGGAGTTTCAATCATTTCATCACTTTCCAGTTCCCTGGCTGAAAATTTCGGGTCTTTGGATCCTCTCTGACCTCTGACTAAAGATTCCGCTCACCAAGATTTTTTTCTCTTGTAGTAACGCTTACTTCTGTTGAACTTGTGACGAAAATCTAAGTTCTAGAGATCCAAGTTAAGGTAAAAAGCCCTAGGAAGTTGTTCCCACCCTCTCGAATGGCATCGAAGAAAATAGCTGAGCTGAGGTGCTAGTGCTACTTGTAAAATTCCTTGACTTTCTCTGCGAATGGGTCCATTGGCGGATCCAGCGATTTGGCAACATTTTTTTAAAATCCAGTTGAACCTATGGAAATGTATCGATTCTTGAAGGGGCCAAGCAATCCGACAAGAATCGATGATTTAGCATAGGTTAAAATGGAGGAAATCCGGTGTTGCCAAATTGCTGGATCAGCCTCTGAATGGGTCACTAAACCTTGTGTTTTTTATTTGATATATTCTGAAAGTGCTAGGTGAGTAGACAGGGAGTCTAGTTCTTTTTTCATTTTAGGAAATCCCGATTTTTCCTGATATTTGACAGCTACATCCTGATTTCATAATTTTTCCAAATCCTTCGTTTTTCCGGGAAAATATTAACGAACGAATAACGGATAATTAACGGAAAATAAGCGGACGACCGACATTTCTCAAATCCTGATTTTACGACCGATTTTTCCTTAAATCCTGACTGACCTCAAATCTTGATAGAATCTGGATAATCGGGAATATCCTGATGCTAAACACCCTGATAAAACACGAATTTTCCGGTAAAGTTTACGAATATTTTCATTTCGATTTTCCAGATAATTTTGTACGCGATGTCACCTAAAGTTCCTGAAAATTTCAAGGTAAAACGTTCGTAACTTTATCGAAGGAAACGTGGCAACTCTCGAATGTTCATACAGCGTTTTTCTTTAGCACGGCAGAGAATAGTCGATTATTGACCTTCTTTCGCGCTCCGAATCCGACGAGTTTCCAACTTTTCGAACGAGTAGAAGATAGTGCAAACCGTATTAAAGTGTAACTTACACCCAAAGAATCATATCAGTCCGCAAGATGAATTTTAATGAGGGTATCTTCAGCTTGGTGAGGCTACGCTTCCACAAGGCGCGGGCGACACGAAATCAGCCGCGTGGCAGATTCGCGTGGCTTGGAGCATGGAATGATTCTGAAACTGTTCGTTGCCACTGACAATGAGAAGCCGATTTACGTCAACGTATTGCCGCGATAGCGAATAGAGCAGTAAGTGCTACAATTAAGTTGAGAAAACGGGCTCACAGCCGTCTGAACGGAAGTGTTTTTTGAAAGAAGCCTCTGTCCTTTGTCAAATTGCCACTTATCATCCAGAAGGCTGTTGGAAATCGTTTGGATGATTAAAAATCGACCGATTTTATTTCAATTACATCAAAAAAGGAATATTTATTTTCATGATAGGTTGGTGTCAGGCAAGACAGCCGTAAGTGCTATCTTCTGCATGCTTTCGTGGTTGCGTTTTGGACACATAAGGAACACATTTTCAGGTTAGAAATTGGCAGAAAAGGGAGACACTTCACTTGAAAGCAATGTTTTCATTGGCCCTCTGCAGGAATATTGTCACTTACTGCTGTTTTGCCTGAAACTAAGTTATTTTCTGCGCACTTACGGCTTTCTAATATGTCTCGTTTTCACACTATAGAGACGAATTTTGCTGTTTTAGTTATTTCAGTGATTTTATCTGAAAGAGATTGGTCAAATTTTGAGAGAAACGCGATTTCGAAAATTTGACACTTACTGCTCTCTTTGCTATCACGACGACATAGTCTAGTGCCTGTGGCAACGCACAGATTTACAATCTTTGCACTCGGTCGCGCGGTTGACTTCGCGTTGCCACGAGCGCTCTGTGAAAGCGTGGCTTCAAAGCCACGCTTAGCCTTAAAGAGCTTTAATTCAATTTGAGTAAAAGTAGTTGAGTATTTTCTTGGGCATTTGACAAAATGCCTGATTTAACTATTTGCCTGCGACATATCCAAGGATGAGAGTAGTACTCGGTGTCCTAGGATGAGTCTTCTCTTGCTTCTTCCGAAAAAAAGCTATATTTCGGTGCATTTGCTGTCATTCACTGCAATAATATGTTGGGTGCCCAAGTAGCACAGATTGCAATAAGTAGCAACTGCATCGTATATTGCAAGATATTGCAATTCCACTGAGTGTTGTGTATGTTGCCTAGCTCCTATTTGAAGGGGCCCCATTTATTGAAACTTATTGCAGTGAAATTGAAATAACTTGCAATTTTTCATTGCATTGCATATTGCCTATCTCTCTGACGTATGAAGCTCATTTTGTTAATTGTTTAAAATTGGCATAAATCGAGTAAATGATGTAAAAATATTGCAATTCAATGGTAAAAAAATTACAATTTCATTGAAATCAAATAGCAATTTAATTTCAATATTTTCGTCGCACTGTGCTACTTGGGTGGAGGAAAAAAAAACACACACACAAGTGACACAAGCGACTACCACTTTCTCCTTTATTTATGTTGAAATGGATGTACCAAAGATTAACATATTCGAATATGAAAGTGGTATTCGCTTGTACTCATACATAAAAAAATCTAATTTAGGGCCGAAAATGAGCAATTATTCGAGAAAACTGCAAAACTTCACTATTTTGCTCTGGTAAATCAGGCAAAACCTTTTAAAAACACCTCGAACAAGGACAGATGATTAAGAGTCGATTCGACCATACATGACATTATTCTAAGCTGTCTTAATTTTTGACCGAAGTTAGGGCCAAGATACCCTCCTCAATGAGACACATCCTTTTCCTGAAAATTCGTATTTTACCGAAAGATATTTGGCAACGCACGATGGTTCATACGGCGTTCTTCTTCAGCACGGTAGAATTGCTACCCCTACCTTTGGCCTACCGTCAAAACTGGTCTGTCAGGTTGGACGCAAGGGTCGTGGGATTTAGATAAGGAGCATGGGCGATTAGTCCAATTTACAACCGGTTTTCCTGACGAATATCGACTTGGACAATACCCGCTAATTAATTTCGCATTATCACTCCCTTCCACTCCACTGTCTTAGCTCCCATTCATTAAGCGCAAGGGGTGAGAGTTCAGGGGTGAGACACCGCGGCTCACGACACCTTTT